CCTCAAATTACTGCTGAGCAGCAAAGCCTCCAGCAGCCTAGGAGGGGCTTTGGGAGCCAGCTATATAACATTAGCCCAGAAGATCGTGAGCTGCCTCCATGTCTGCTAGCTAGCTGGCTGGGTGATGTTCCTGGAAGTGGAGTGGAAGAATGACTTTTAAAGTCAGCCAGTCCTAGCCACACCCTCTCTCCCTTTTGCCTAGCTCAGCAGCCTTTGGCCCCGGTGGGAAGGGTGAAGGAAGCTGTTGCAGTGTCTTCCAGTGTCCTCCGGCTGGCTGGCTGGCAGTTAGGTGTTCCTGATCAGTTATTAATTTATACAACTGAGCAATTGTTGTCCAAGCCATTGTATTCCCCATCACCATGTACAGATGTGAGAGTTGGACAGTAAAAGAAGCAGATAGAAGGAAAATCAACTCATTTGAGATGTGATGCTGGAGAAGATTCCTTGGACTACTGTGGATGGCCAAAAAGACAAACAGATGGGCCTTGGAACAGATCAACCCAGAGATCTCCTTAGAAGCTAATTGAGGCTGATGTACTTTGACCACATAATAAGAAGACATGGATTACTGGAAAATGCTAGAAAAGGTAGAGGGTAGAAGGATAGGAGGACCAAATGCCAGATGGATGGACCCAATGAGGGGGACACCGGCATGGGGGTTGCATCCACACTACAGAAATAATCTGGTTTGACCCTACTTTAATTGCCATAACTCAATGCTATGGAATCCCGAGAACTGCAGTTTTGTGAGACATTTAGTCTTCTCTGCCAGAGAACTGTGGTGCCACAACAAACTACAATTCCCAGGATTCCATAGCATTGAGCCATGGCAGTTAAAGTGGTGTCAGACTGGACTATTTCTACAGTGTGGAGACAGCTGGGCTTGCAGGAACTAAGTAGAGAAGTGGAAGATAGGGATTCTTGGTGGTGTCTCATCCATAGAGTTGCCATGAGTCAAATTTGACTTGAAGGCAGATAACAACAAAAATAATGTATTTGTATTTGTGTTTCTTTTTAATGCCTGAAGAAGGCCTTTCCTTATATAGGCCAAAATGTGCTGGGTGGTTTTAAAGAGAAATAAATAAACAGTTGGCCATCATAGTGGATCTTGTCTCCTTATAATTCTCTGCTTGCAGCTATATGGATATAGCCAGATGCCTTTCTACCATCTGCACCCCACTGTCCCCAGGTACTATATAGTCACTGGGGAGAAGGTTCCTGGAAGAAGAAAGTGAACCCTGCAAGAAGTGAGAAGGCAGAGTTCCATGTGGGCAGAATTTTACACCCATTCTGTCAATGCCTTCATTTATAGACCACTAATACTATGAAGAAGAAGAAAAAAGTATTTGTATAAAATATCATTGAAAGTTCTAGATATAGCTAGAACTGTGAACTGGTCCATGCCTAATCATTTTTTGCAACTGTTTTTACTGCTATAAGATTGTTAGGAATATTTTAATTTTGTAGATGTTGCAAGTTTCTTTGAGTTTGATTTCCTCACAGAATGACAAGGAATATATATTAAAATTAATAACTGATCTTTGATTAATTGCTTAGGAGCACATAACTGAATGTTCAGTTTTGCCTTCTCAAATGTATTAGCTGTGAGTTGCCTCTGAAATAATATCAGTGCAGAGCATAATTCACATCAATTGGCAGCTTGAACAGAAAGACAGACGTTGCCTAGAGGCCAAGCAGGTCTCCTCACCCCCCACCCCCACCGCTGCCTTTTTACAGCAAGTGATTGTGGCCAAAAACGGAATGAGAGCAGACATCTAAAAGAGAAGCCAACAGAAAAATGAGAAGCCTGGAGAAGAGAAATCCCTCTCAATTGTAGATCTGTCCTTGAACTGTTTATTGTGAACTTGTTTTGTCTTCTTCTGAAGTCTTTCTTTGGTCACTTATGCCAGGTTAGATAAGAGGCTATTTGAAAAGAAAGAATTTTCTGGGATGGTGTCCAGTTATAGAAGTTTCAGGAGATTTCCCTGGATTTATCACTACTATTCAAAGATATAGCCATGTTAGTCTGTAGGATCAAAATGTAGACAGATCTTGTAGCACCTTTGAGAGTTCATTCAGATAGTGTCAAAGATGCTACAAGATCTCATTTTTCATTCATTCATTCATTTAACCCAGGGGTAGGCAACCTTTCCCCTTTAAGGGCCGAGGGACTTCAGCTCCCAGAAGCCTCAGCCATGTTGGCCAATAGCTTCTGGGATCCTGGGAGTTGAAGTCCCTCGGCCCTTAAAGGGGAAAGGTTGCCTACCCCTGATTTAACCTTTATTAGGCATACAAGAGTAGGATTTACAATAGATTTACAATAAAATAAAATACATTTACAATAGAACTTCAGGATCATTATTATAAAATTTAAGCCATAATCTTGAAGCCTCCAGCAGGAAATTGGCCATTAGCCTGGTAATATGTGGATTCCGATCTTCCAATAAGAATTCCACTGATAACCTATCCAAACAGATGTTCATTTCCAATAACCTTCTTAACAATTTCCCCCTAGGAATTATATACAATGGACACAGCAATACAATATGATGGAGAACATCAGGAGCTTGATCACAGTGGCATATACGTTTCAGAAATGGGGTCTGTAAATATCTACCCTTTGTCACATTTGAGGGGTGCACATTTAACCTTGCTAATAAAAATGCCTTCCTCAACACCAACAATGAAAGGGTTTGGAAATAATCAGGAATCATAGAATCATAGAATCATAGAATCATAGAGTTGAAAGAGA